CACGCGAGGCGGAAGTTGTAATTTTTGTTAAGTTGGGGCTGCCTGGTCATGTAACCCGCTTCGAGCAAGCCGAGCCGAAACGAAGGGAAAAGTAAAGAAAGGGGCCAGTCGGATGTCCAACCGCGATAAGCCATTGTCGACGCGGCACTGCGTGGACACCCACGACTAAAACACGCATGTGTGTGTGCGTGTGTGTGGATGGGGCAGGGCGTTGCCGTGGCTGTCCTGTTCGTCAGCCTTGCGTCCACACAAGTGCTCCTTCTTCTTTGTGTTGAGCCGGGCTGATGGGGGCTGATGAACAACACTTTCTGCCGCCACCGACGCGACGCGGTGACGCGGCGACGCACCGCAGACCGCCCGACGCCCCCTCGCGGCCGTGGCTGCGGCGTCGCGGCGCTGTGGGTCACATGGGAGGGAATTTACTGCAAATGAGCGTCGCGGCGCCACGCCCGGTGCAGCGCGCCGCGCGGCGTGGCGGCGTGGTGGCGTGTCCCCCAGGGCGGGGCCCAGGCACGGCGTCGTCGCGCACTGCGCCGGGGAGCGCCTCCGCATCCCAGGACGCCGGCGGGGCCCCGGCGGGGCGCGGGGGAGGACCCTGGCGGCGGGCCGCTGGGCTGCGTGGCGCGGCGGTCGCTGCCGATGAGGCCCGTGGCGGGCTGCCTTTGGCCCGGCCGGCCGCGGCGCTAGGCGCTTCGCCGGCTTCGCCGCTTCAGTCGACGCAGGCCAGGCCCCGTGGCGGCGAGCACGGCGAGGCGTCCCGGTCGTCGCGTCGCGTCGCGTCCCAGCCCGCCGGCGACCCAGCCGGGGCTCGGTCCCAGGCCCGCGCACCGCCGTCGTAGCGTACCGCCGTACCGCCTGCCGCGGCGCTCCTCGCGTGTCGTCTGCTGGCCGCGTGCGTCGTCTGCCAGTGCACAGCGCAGCGCCACTGTACGCGGCGCAGGCTGGCGTCACCGCGCACCTTTATAGCTCGGCACGGCCGGCGAGGCCTGCGCGCCCTGGGCCACGGTCACCCTGTTGATAAGGCCGCGCGCGGTACCTCGCCGAGCTAGCCTCGCGCGGGCCTCGGCGCGTCTTCGCGGTGCTCGTCGTGGAGCTTCCCCAACAGGTGTGCCGTCGTCGTGCTGCTGACTTGACTGCGTCGGAAGGCCCCGCTACGCCCCGCCGCACCCTCCCCTCCCCCGCCTGACCGTTCCCATCAAGTGCCGCCCCCTTTTTCCCATGGCGCCATGTGTCTCCCAGTCGCCTCTCTTTGAGCAGGCCGTCGTGCCGCTCCGCATCTTCCGCGTTGCGCACAGCAAAATTTGTTTTTGTTTTTCGCGGTGTCCGCGCGTGGTGCTGTTTCCGCACGCACGCTCCGCCGTGTCCACCGTGCGATGGACCTCACCTTCCCCTCGATGCAGTGTAGATGCTTGGCGCCGGGCCCACGGCGGGTCATCGCCCCCTCCCCCTTTTCCTGTCGCCATAGTGCTGACGAATTGAGTCCTTCCCTCCCTTCACGGCCTGCCATTGGCTCATCACGGGCCAGTGCCAGCGAGACGATTCACAGTGGGCCAGAGGACCGATGGAGGCGGCCAAAACTCAAGATGCGGTTTGAGCTCCAGAGTCGCTAAACAGGACTCGAACCGAACGTGTGACCCCACTAATGGATTTTTCGTGTGGAGAGCAATCCATTGGTGGGGTCACACGTTCGGTTCGAGTTCCGTCTAGCGACTCTGGAGCTCAAAACGCGTGCGGGGTTTTGGCCGCCTCCGCCAGTCTTCTGGCCCACTGTGCGACTGCGTGCGTGGGACCGGGTTCGAGACCCGGCGGCAGCGGCTGCTTTTCCCCAGTCTCCACACCACCATCCCCCGTAGGCCCGTGGGCCCGTAGTGCACGAGGCTGTGGGCTTGCGGCGCACTCGGCGTGCCCGGCGTGCCTCGCGCCTTACAAAGAAGACGACAAACGCCATTCGTGCTGCAGCCGCCCAGGCAGCCCCGGCGCGCCGTGCAGGCCGTGCAGGCCACGACGACGCCAGTTTTTTGTCCGCCTCCGTTATTCAGTCCTCCACGCCGCCGTCATAGATGTCCCCGGCCCTTGCCCCGCCCCGCACAACACATGGCTGGATTACACCGCCAGATAAACAGCCCTCTGGCCGCGTTCCAAATCCGAAATGTGGTCCGGCTTTACAGCCGCTTCCCCGCGTGCCGCCAGCCGAGCCATTCAGATGATCAGTTCGTCGCTCCGTCTCTCTCGCACCTATGCGGAACACCCCGTGAGTGCGAGAGAGACGGAGACGACTCTCGGAATCCGTCTGCGGTGCCGCCAACCGCCTATCGGCCTCAAGCTTCAAACGGCAAACGGCCCAGATGATATTCGGGGCAGACTAGACGGTCCGGCCGAAGGAGTCCGGCCGCGCAAAGTCCGAGCGCGGCGCCTCCTCTTAAATCGGTTTCCCCCTCCACCATCAGCAGGGGCGACGCGGATAGTATTACCCGAGCTATTACAGCAGAGTACGCCCGGTTTTAATTTTATGTCTGCTTTTTCTTATTTTTTTTTCCGTCTGAGAGGTGAAATTTGACCCCCGCAGACACTGGCGTATTGTATGCACAGCATTTGACGCCGGGGGGCACGGCGCGAGTGACGAAAAAAGGGTGGGGAGGGGGTCGGCTGCGTTCATTAGAGTCTGCCGGACTTGGCACGGCCGCACAGTGGGCCAGAAGACCGGTGGAGGCGGTCAAAATCTCGGACGCCTTTTGAGCTCCAGAGTCGCTAAATGGGACTCGAACCGAACGTGTGACCCCACCAATGGATGGCTCTCCGAACGAGGAATCCATTGGTGGGGTCACACATTCAGTTTGAGTCCTGTTTAGCGACTCTGGAGCTCAAAACGCGTCCGGGATTTTGACCGCCCTCGCCGGTCTTCTGGCCCACTGTGGGCCGGCTCAGCCTGCCCCGGCCCCGCCCTAGTCCTGACACCACAAAAACTGCCCTGTGCCTCGCGCCTCGCACTTACCGTGTAGAAAGCCCGCGGCCAGGAGGTGGCGAACGGCCTTTAATGGTGGCGATATCGCCCGAGTGGATACACAAACACATTCAGATTCAGAGCCCGCGAGCCGGCAGCAAGGCGGCAGCAAGGCGGCAGCCGGCCAAAGCCTTTCATTGCTATTCATTCCTTTCCATTACCTGCTACCTGCCCTGGTCCAATTCCCCCGGCGGCCTTCCGACGAACGGTCCAGCCAGCCTCCGCGCACAGCCCGTGCGGGACGGGGCCGGCGCGAAAGAGAAGGGATTGTCACTTTTGAAAGTTGGCAGCGCAGCGCGGTGCGGTGCAGCGCGTGCGGTTCGTGGAAAGGGACGGAGCCCTTCAGTGACTCGTGAAAGCTGCCACCGGCCCGACGGCCTCGAAGATGCGCCTCTGATCGAAATTATCGGCCACAATGACCGCCGTCCAGGCGGACACGGCGCCGGCGGCGGAGGGCACCCTCCCGACCGAGCCTGGGGCTGAAGACCAGCCGCCGGCGGAGCGGCCTCCCGACAACAACGACCCTTCGCATCTGAAGGAGAGCGAGCTTGTGGTGCAGAATGGTTGTGAACCCACCGCGCAAGAAATGGAGCCTTCGGACCAGCCTCCCGTTGAAAGCGTCCCGGCCATGGCCCAGCCCCCAGACGAAGGCGAGGCTCCGGCACAGCCCGCGGGTGAGAAGATTTCGGGTGACGAGGGCAAAAGTCCCGAGGAGAGAAGTGAGGAACCTAAACAGCCGTCGGATAAAGAAAACGACGCGGAGCCCACCGAACTGAACGGATCTCCTCCGGACGGTACGCCCTCTCGAGCCTCACCCCCTCGACCGCCACCACCGGCACCTCCCTCCGCGCCGCCGCCACCGCCGCCCAGCAGCGCGCCGTCGTCCCCCGCCAACAAGAAGCACCCCCGCAACTGGTGGGGCCACAGCAGCGTGCGTTCCCCGCGGGGCAGCCGCAGCCAAAGCCGAGAGGGCTCCCCGCTCAACGGCGACCCGCACGGCAAGCGGTCGCCGCGGTCGCCCACCAAGACCATCGCGGACCTGCTGCTCAGCGCCATGGTGCACGCGGCGGGCGGCAAGGCGGGCGGCAAGCCCCGACCACACGTCCACGCCGCCCCCGACAAGCAGGACCCTGCGCCGCCGCCGGCCGCGCAGCCTGCGGTGGTGCGCGAACCCGCCCCCGCCGAGTCCGAGGACGTGCCCAACATCACCTTCACGTTCTTCGACCCCAAGGAAGCCGCCAAGGCCGCCAAGCCCAAGGACGCCGACGAGGACGAGGCGACGCCGGACTCGGAGTGGGAGGACGACGTGCAGCGCGACAAGGAGGTGACGGAGACCGTGGTGGCGCCGCAGCGAGCGTCCATGCTGTCGGACGCCGACGAGGAGTTCGTGGACGCCAGGGAGTCCTCGGCCTCCAGCCCGACAAACTCACTGAGTCCGAGTCCCGCGCCCGCGCCACCCAAGGACCAGTACGAGGAGCCCGAGTACGTCTGCGTGGAGCGGCGTCCCCACCCGGCCAAGGTGGAGCCGAGGTCGGCCGTTGTGAACCCCATCTACCGGTCGCCGTCGTACTCCAGCGCTGTGGAGGAGGGGCTGTACTCGTGCCCGCGGCCCCACACCGCGCCGCCGCCGCCACCGCCCGGGTCGCCGCCAGCGCCCCCTAAGGCCAAGCCGCCACCCGTGCCGGAGCCCGACTGGACCAGCACGGACAGCAGCAGCAACCAGGTCACCGAGTACACCACGTACTACGCGACCCCCAACGGCGAGCCCGCCAGCTTGCCGCCCGAGATCCGCGAGTACGAGGAGCTGGAGTACTGCTCGCTGCGCGCCTCGCAGCGCGGCCGGCGCCCCAAGTCCGTGGCCGCGGACGCCGCCGACGCCGCCCCCGGCAACCGGGTGGGCCTGCTGCGCGTGCAGCGGGTGCGCTCCCGCCTGGGCAAGGCGTGGCGGTCGGTGCGGGGGTGGTGGGACGACGAGCGGGGCCGCCTCAACGAGACCTTCATGCGCCACGTCCACGCGCAGGCCGTCGGCGCCTTCGACGCGCCGCCGCCGCCGCCGCCGTGCGCGCGCAGCTGCGACACCCTGGCCGGCCACGACGACTTCGACGACGACGACGAGGAGGTGGCGGCCGCCACGGCGGCGGCGGAGAAGGCCGAGAAGTCTGAGAAGGCCGACAAGGAGGAGCACGTGGGGTTGTTCAAGAGGGCCATCAGCGCGCCCACCATCCCGCGAGTGTTGGTGCTGCGCCGCCGCAAGGACTCGGACGAGGCGAGCTCCGCCAGCTACAGCACCTGGGGCCGCGGCAGCCGCGCCAGCATGGCCAGGCCGGGCTCGGCCCTGCGCCGCAGCAAGTACATGCCGGAGGTAAGGACGAGGACCTAGTGCCACCACATTCTGTCCCTCCGCCTTTCAGTGTGCCGCACTTTTAGAGCGGGTTCTCTCTTCTTAATGTGTGGTGGGATTCATATTCTTGATGCGTGCGGGACGGGCCTTGCTGGCCAGGCACTGGAATACATGAACACTTGTATGTCGAGTGCCGTTGCGTGCGAGATGCACCGCGACGCACCACGGGCCGCGAAAGCCTGCAGGCCGCGCGGTGCGGTGCTGGCGGTGGCGGGCTGCATTACGGAGCATTCATTGGCCGGCACTGCTCCGCCACCGCAAGGATCGCGACGCCTAACGGTGTGGTGGCGCGGTGGCGGGGCGTGGCGGGGATTGCACGGCGAAGGTCTCACACGCGTCTCCAGTGCGACCTACTGCCGCGGTGATTCGGGATTCATGAACGAACGCACAAAAAAGACACCAGAAGGAAAGAGGGCTCTTGACGGCTTCCTCTGAAGCAAAAGCTTCGCGGCGCACGCGGCTGTAATCAGGACATGTGGCTCTGGTGGGCTGCAGTCTGGTTATACGGACGGTGCTTGTCTCTCTCGCACTCACAGGGCGCGGCACCGTAGGTGTGCGAGAGAGACAGAACGATGGTGGCCCGGTGTAGTGGACAATGTCCGCGGTGGCGTCCATGTGCGAGACCATGCTGCCGCAGCGCGCGCAGAGCCGTCCCTCCCGAGTGGTTTATGAGACAGCTTTCTCTGGCGAGCCAAAGACAGACGCGCTGGCTCTGGTCTGCTGCAGGACCGCTGCCAGGCGTCTTCGTTCTTGAGGCCTGCCGACTGCAGTGCAGACTGCACTGCGATGCAACAGCGTCGTCCTGCCCGTCCAGATTCAGCGGAATCGTCATCGACGACTCGTTTGGCGAAACAACAGCGCCGCGCTTTCGCGTCGTCGGCGATGCAAGCTGCAGACTGATTCCGAGAGTCGCTTTCGTCGCGCTGTCTCTCTCGCACCTACACGGGGCGTCCATGAGACAGAACGACTCTCGGAATCAGTCCACTGCAACGGGTTCGGTGCTCGTCTGTCCTCCCCCGAACATACGGCGGTTTGCTGCGCCGCCCACTCCGTCAAGAAGTGCGCCGCGGTGCTGGCGAAGTGCTGTTGCCGACACCCACGGCGCCGCTACAAACGTGCGGCGGCACGGCGGGTGATCGCCATCCTGGTCCGGTTCGAGCTGCCCCGGGTCACTGGCCTGCTTATACGACTCGCGTGGACTCGCGTGTTGGCGAGCAAATCAATACACTGCTTGTCCAGCAGCGAGAGCACGCCGAGCACGCGCAGGTGGCGCGCGTGCCGCGTGACGAGCGCGCCGCGCCGCCGCGCCCACGTCGAACCAGCAGCGCACACCGCCCGGAAAAGCGCATGTTTATTTACATGCAGAATCCACCCTCTCTCCGCCCGCGCACCTCCTCGCCTGCTCCTCGAAAGTTGACCGATACGTTGTCGATTTCCTGCCGGCTTATCATGTGTCGGCCCAGCCAGACCGGGGCAGGGCGGGGCGGGGCGGGGCGGGGCGGGGCGGGGCGGGGCGGACCCGCGCTTGCGAGAAAAACGCACCGATGGACACTGATAGCGGCGTGTCGCGTCGGCGCGTCGCGGGGCCGCGTGTGGTCCACATTCCGGCACGACGCGTGAGCAGAGCATGCGTGAGCACGCGCCGCGCGACAAACGAGCCTCTTTTTGTTCCCGAAGCGTGATGATGGACGGGTATGAGAATGTGCGCTGCGCGCTGAGATTCCGAGAGTCCTTCTCGTCGCTCTGTCTCTCTCGCACCTAGACGGGACGCCCTGTGGGTGCGAGAGAGACAGGGCGGCGAGAGGGACTCTGCTGAGTGGCGTCGCGACGCGTGGCGCCGCGGCCAGGGCCCCTGCAGTGGCGCGGCCCACGCCGGGCAGCCGGCAGGGCAGGCCAGGTCCCCTGGGGGTCGTCGCTCTCGTCGCTCTGGTCGCGGGCCCGGGGCACGACTTCAATTAACGCAGGTCAACTGCCACTGCCGCCACTGCACACATATTACACCGGCCCGGCCGGGCCAGTCCATAGACGGCAACCCGACCCAGACATGCCGCCGGCCGGCCCAGAGGCCGCGCTGGGCTGGGCCCTGCTGGGCCACGGCGAGCGAATCATGTCGCGGAATGTGATGAACTGAAGCGACCGTCAAATTACTTTCTCGGTCAGCCTGCTCCCGGAACGCGCGGTGCGTCGGCGTCCGCCACGGCGTGCCTCCGGACGTGGGCAACAAGCGCGCACTGCCGGAAGCGCAAGGGAATTTCCGCGTGAGAAGTCCGTGCTTGGACTTGCACTTGACCACACATGATCATATGCCACTTTACAAACCTAACTGTCTACTTAGTACACACTTACAAACGCATGTTTGGCCAGAGTACACACTTACAAATGCATATGCTTGGCGCCGTATAACGCCATGCTAAGGTTTGTGGTGCACACTTGCACTGCACAACGTGGCAGACCGACTACGGGTCCTTCTTTACCTTGGTGGACCAGACCCAGATCTAGATGCAATATTTTCTTGAGTTTCATTTTTTTCTGATATGGAACACATTAAATAACATACATTTTGAAATTTCAATCAAAAATTAACCAGAGGCCTGGTGGCTTATTGATTGGGTACTGGGTAAGGGCAATTTCCCCTGGTATCTGGTGGCGCCGCGCGGCTGTGCAGCACTCCAACACGGCCATTGCCACCACTGCCACCATCTCCACTTCTGCCGCCGCCACAGCACTCCAGCCTTGACCAAACTCAGAGTGTAGCAGCCCATGACACTGCATGGATACGCCGCACCGGGTCGGGATAAGCGGCACGGCCTGAGTACGGCGCATTGTCAGGCACCGAGTACCCGCCGGTACCCGCGGCACCGAAGGTACAGTAGGGGAAGGCCAGGGCGGCGCACGAGCGCAAACACACACACACACACACACACAGAGAGAGAGAGAGAGAGAGAGAGAGAGAGAGAGAGAGAGAGAGAGAGAGAGAGAGAGAGAGAGAGAGAGAGAGAGAGAGAGAGAGAGAGAAAGACAGACAGACACAGACAGACACACACACCACTCCGAGTCATACGCGTGCACACAAACAGGCAAGAAGCTCGCATGTTTAAGGACATAGATCCCCCTCTGCCAGGAGGTATTACTTCCCAGAGTCAGCAAAAAACTATCAATGTTTCGGTAAAAAATTGTGTGGGTCTTCCTCTCTGCGGGCCGCTGGGCTGGAGCGCCGTGGAGGCAGGCCACCCATCCGACTCGCTTGCCTCGACTCGCCTTGCCGCCACTTTCCACGTTTGGCTTGCCGCGCTGTTAGCTGCCGCTCCTACACCCCCAACAAGGCCGGGCTTTTCGTGACTCGACGTGGAACGACGCGTGCGGGACGCGTCAGATATTATTGGATTTTAAAAGTAGGCCTTCCTATCTGCCCGGCCTGAAAACAGTCGAACGCCCTGCGAAGATAAAGATTTTCGTCCCGCCGCAACACAGGCCACCGCCTAGGCCGCCCGCCCTGCGGCTTCGCGGCGTTCTCGTTCGACATCACCGCCGCCCTAAAGAGACCCTCTGACCCCCGCGGCCCCGGCTGCCGCGGCCTGCCGAAGCACACCCTGACAATGAAGGGCCCATCTGGATCCCGTTGGCCGCCGTGCGCGCCTGCAGACTGATTCCGAGAGTCGTTTCCGTCGCTCTGTCTCTCTCGCACCTGTACGGGGCGCCCCACGAGTGCGAGAGAGACAGAGCGACGAAAACGACTCTCGGAATCAGTCTGCAGGCCCGCGGCCTGGCCGATGTTTGGGTTAATCGCTCGCTTTAGCGCCAAGGACGCGCGGCGGCGCGTAGGGCTTTGAGTCTGAGAGCACACAGCACCAGGAAACGGGAGTGGCAAATGGCTTCCCTCCGCGGCGATACCCCGCGCGGCAGGGGCAGGCGGGGCTCGGCGGAGCGCGGAGTATGGACGTTCGCGCCACACTGCAAGCGCGGCAAGGGTGAAAGCTCAGCTCGGTTGGCCGCGTCGATCCAAATCGCGGGCAAAACGACACGGCCGCGGCGAAGCGGCCGAAGCACGGCGTTTGGTGTTAAGCCCGGGCGCAGAATCGGCCACGCCACTGCCAACTTTAGACCTGGCGGCCAGCCAGCGTGACGCGGGGGACGCCGCCGTGCCGTGGTGGACGCCGTGTCCGCTCTCCGAGAGCTAACGGCGGTGGGATTGGGAGAGCCGCGGCCGGCCGTCCGCGTGGACTCTGCACATGCACGGGGACCTTTCCTCATTTCACCGTGGCGACCTGTCCGCTCGGCTGCTCGCATGACTCTCATGGCGCGTGTCTTTTATTGCCGCTCATGGCACATCATACGGCACTCCCCCCTCAAATGTCACGGCCCGACGGGCGCGCCCTGGCGCAGAGAGTAGCGCCGAGGAGGCTCGCGGAGTAGCGCCGCGGCGTGTTGCAGCAGGGCGACTTGACGGCGGCGGCGTGCAATATCAGCCTGTGCGAACCAGTCCACGGCCCGGCGACCCGGCAGCACGCCGAGAAGGCCCTTAAGTGCGCCATGGCGTCACCGATAGGCCGGCCGGCCCGCCTCGGCCTTTAATAAGGCTTAACGAGGCGCCGGCGGTGTTGCGTGACGTGCCCGACGCACTAGTTCTGCAGCGCGCGGATCACCCGGTGCTTTCCTCTGCAGCGGCCCGGCGGCGGACAGACGGGCACCACGCAGCGGTCAGACAGACAGACAGTTTATCGGGCGAGCCACAAGAACACACAGACAAATTCGATGTTTTCGTTCATGCTTTTTAGCAGATGAGAGCTTTTTATTTGTTTTTGTTTTTCACTGGGCGACGACTTTAAGAGTCTAATTCGGAACACCTCAGTAAAACACGTTAATTGGCTCAAAACGAGGCCTAGGGCTATTCGATTCTGGGTCTCAGTAAAATGTTACCATGCTCTCTTTGCCAGGGCGACCATAGCGGCTGCGCTCTGAGC